AAAAATACTCCTCCAGAGGTAAATTAAGGGATGCTAAATCGGAAAAATCGAACCGAAATTTCAGAACGCCAACATTTCATACCGTTTACCGAACTGAATATACGATTTGGTTCGATAAATACTGAATGGCATAAATTTTATGTAAAAATATTTAAAAGAAGGGGTTGGCTGTAATTACGCAAACATGAGGGTTTTTTTCGTAATTTGACCATACCTCAAAGGATGGCCGTAATTTACCACAATACAATTAAACCTCTATAATTGAATACAGTTGGAACCAAGAAAATTCTATTAATTTAGCGAATTATTAAATTATCGAGTTAATAATATAATACATTTTCACCAAGTCGAGAACCAGAAGAAACTACTATTTTATCGAGGTTATTAATTTACCGAGGTTCTACTGTATTACATAATTATTTTGTTAATGCTGGTTCATAAATTTTAGGTATTAATATAAAATAAAAATGTACCTTACATTACTTAAAAAAAAATAAAAATCTTATAGTTTATTATTTTTACGATTTAAGATTTATTCAACGATTTAGTAAAATAGGAACAATCATTAATTAGAGGAAGTGTGTGACAAAGAAGAAAATGCCTATTCTATGCTACACTTGGTGAAATTAGGGGTGGAAATTGGAAAGGAATTCCCGAATTCCGCCAATTTCGATTCGAAAATATTCGAATTTAGAACACTTTTCTTCACTCTGATTTCCGATATTCCGATTATTTTTGGAACGGAATTAGAATTACATATAAAATTATTGAAAATTCCAATTTCCGATCCGATTTTATTTCCGAAATATAAAATACGATATATATATATATATATATATATATGGGGATATTGAGATATAGGTCCCTAGTGACAAAACTTATTAGAACTAAATGACAAGCTCAACTAAACATTTGTTTCACATCCTTTATAAAATTCATTCCCAAAATGCCCCTCCACTAACAAATTTAATTTTTTTATTAAGTAATTAAACTGCCTTAATTATTTTTTTTATTCTACATTTAATATTTCGTCTGACGTTTTTTTAATTTTTTTTACGAAATACCCAATGGTCTTTTTTTCTCTTTCATTCTTTATTTTAGCATTTTATAGACTATTATAAACAAACTTCGTTGTTTTTTTCTTTTTTTTATACATAATATTGAAAATTAAAAAAAAAATATTATTTTTTATTTTTTTTATAATTCAATTTCACGTTTTTCCTTTTTTTTTTTTAATTTTTAGTTTATCTTCTATCGGTACATCTATAGTTACCTTTACCGTAGTCATTATCGTCGTTTATAGGCTTCTGAAACATGAACTTCACTTTGACACATTCTTTGTCTGTTCATATATATACACTACAACAATCTGTAGTAGACTATGGTATAATATGGTGTACTACGGTGTACTATGGTGTACTACGGTGTACTATGGTATACTATGATTTACTACGGTATACTATTCCGAACCCTAGCCGCGAATAACTCTCAGTCGGCCAGCAGTAAACGCAGCCGCAACGAAATCCTAGCAGCCAAGCCCTATCTTCTTCATCAGTTGTCCTTAATTTTGCTTCCATAGCCTCAGTTTGTTTCTTCTCTCCAGCCCTATCTTCTTCAACGCAAGCGTCATTCATGTAAAGGCGAGCCTTGAAGAGGTAGCGGTTAGCTCTCCCTAGGTAGCGGATATAATTGGCCCTTGCGCTCAAGTTATCCTGTACAACACGTACGGTGCGGCTGCAAAACATGTTCTTTCAATTGACGACAACACGGCTGCTCCACCATCCGTTGGGCCGCTTTAAGGCAAGGCTTCCAATCGTGTGGCACCAGTATTGGTATGCTCTTGTACTCACCTCCACAATTCTGCATTATTTCGAACACCGACTGTCCTGGAGGATCCGACTCCAGAGTGTTGTACACTATAGCAAATAACGCGTACTCTATTGTGTACTGGATTTTGCGCCTCTCGTCATCCGGCAACATTATATTTTTTTTTTCTTTTTCCTGCTGAATATGAATATTCCATTTAATATTAATATTAATCAAACAAGAAGACTAAAATCTCAGTGCTAAAAAAATATTGAGAATGAAAACAGGTAAGAATTTTTTATTGTTAATATAAATATTGAACATGCAAAATAGTATACATAACAGAACATACAGAGAAAACACAGAACACGGATTGATAAAGAATAGAAAATATAAGTCTCTAACCCGTCATCCTCTTCGCCACTCGCCGCCTCATCCTCCTGCCGCCTATCATTCTCGACAGCAAAACTCGACGCCGTCGCCGTCAATCCCAGATCTAACATATCCTCTCGATGTGAAAGAGAGGACCACTACAGAAAGAGAGAAAAGAAAGAGAAAGGTGTGGGGCGGTTGAAGAAGAGAGCGAGACAGGGTAGGCGGCGGATAAAAAGAGAGTGGGGAGAAAAAATAGAGAAACGTGGTTTTTTATTAGGTATATCAAGGGTATTTTAGGGTTAAATAAAAATAAAAGGATGTGGGTCAAATTAAATTTTCAAATAAGGATTTAGTAAAAACATTCTATTTGAGGTTGTGCCCCACATCTAATTATGTTTGGTTTGAGGGGTGTCTTCAATATTAACCCTATATATATATATATATATATATATATTTGAATTATTTTTCTATTCATATTTTGCAAGAACTATATTTACCATTTTTTTTGAAAATTTGCAAGAATTATATTTGCTTTGATAAACTCATTATTTTGTTTTTACAAGTGTTTACATTTCCTCTTATTGACCTTTGAGTTTGGATTCTTGCCTATTGCCGGAAAATTACGAAAATATTAGAAGAAAAAAATGCTAAAAATTACCATTATTTTCGATTTTGGAACAAATAATTAAGAAATTGGAATGGATTTTGAAATTCCGATTTTTTTTAATGGAAATTGGAACCTATTTTTAAGTTCCGAAAAAAATTGGAAATTTTTTCGAAAAAGACATTTCCGATCCATTCCGTTTGATTTCCACCGCTAGGTGAAATACATCAGTTAATTTTCTACTATTCATATACACACACCCACATTGGTGTGTGTAGCATAAAAATAACCGAAGAAATGTGAGAAGTAGGCAGCCAGCTAATATGACGACATTGATCCGACTCATCATATGCTTAATCGTTTCTTAATTGTAAACACGATCTCAATAATAATTACTAACATTTAATTATTTATTAATAATAAAATAGTGTATTTCAGATCTACAAAGCGGTGTCGTTTAGTCAATTTAAATAATATTAAAACTTTTGTTTTCATCTCCAAAAACAATACATACAGAGTGGTGGACTACTACTTCGTGTCAGATACACATATACATACAGACTATACATACAAAAAATTCAAATACACACTCCCCCAAATTTCACCGGAAACACAATCACGGCGGAAGTAATATATACATACACACGTTTATGTATGTATAATATAATATATAATATATGTATTCCGCTTCTTCGTTTCTCTCTCTAGAAAATTATGTATATATATACATAATTCAGTGCTGGATTAGTAGGCATTGAGTTCAGCAACACCTTTTTTTTTTTTGGTAGCTTTTCAAACGGTAAATCAATTTTGCTCACACTTTCAGATCTCTCTACTTTCTCTCTCTAAAACTTTTTTTTTTTAATTGATTGTTGATTTTTGATTGATCTCTGTTTTTTTTGTAGATTGAAGTTTGAATTAAAAGTAATTAAAATGAACGGCGCTACATTGGTAGCCATTGCCGCCACGATCGGCAATTTTTTGCAGGGTTGGGATAATGCCACAATTGCAGGTGAATTTTTGTTAAACCTTAATCTTCTAATTCTAATTGCAATTTTTCTTTTAATCAATCAATCTAAGTAAAAAAATCACTTGAATATTGAATTTTTCTGTGAATTAATCTCTATTTTAAATTTTAAAAAAAAAATATTATACAGGAGCTGTTGTTTACATTAAAAGAGAGCTCGAATTGACGGCGGCAGTAGAAGGGCTTATAGTGGCAATGTCGCTCATCGGAGCTACAGTGATCACCACTTGCTCGGGGACAATCTCCGATTCGGTTGGGCGAAGGCCGATGCTTATTGTTTCGTCAATGTTTTATTTCCTAAGTGGAATTATAATGTTGTGGTCTCCTAATGTGTATGTATTGCTTCTGGCAAGGCTTTTAGATGGATTCGGAATCGGGCTTGCTGTTACGCTAGTTCCTCTTTACATTTCCGAGACTGCACCCTCGGAGATTCGAGGGCAGTTAAATACTCTCCCACAGTTCCTTGGTTCCGGTGGAATGTTTTTGGCGTACTGTATGGTTTTCTCGATGTCGCTATTGCCCTCGCCTAGCTGGCGATTGATGCTTGGAGTTCTTTCGATTCCTTCACTTTTGTATTTTGCGTTCACTGTGTTTTATTTGCCTGAATCTCCGAGGTGGCTAGTGAGTAAAGGGAGGATGGTTGAGGCGAGACGAGTTTTGCAGAAACTGCGTGGGAGGGAAGATGTTTCTGGTACATTCTTGATTCGATCTTTGTTTTTCATATCTGCTGAAGTAATTTTTTTATTTTATTTTTGATTGAGTGGATTAATTTTGATCTGTTGGTTTTCCTTACTGAAAACTGTTTGATGTGAGCATGTGGTTTTATGCGTGGCATGCTAAAATTATGTAAATATTACTTTAAGAAACCTCAGACATTTTCTATACGAATAATATTCTAGGTCTTAAATACCTTCGATGTGAGAATTGCCATTTTTTGAATCGTATTGTTCGTAGTCTTTGGTTAGGCATCAATTAAATTGTTCAGAAGAAAATGTAGTATCGTAGATAAGACTAGACATATTCAGTTTCATTATGGTGCAGTTTAGATGATTCAAGCATCGTCTTGTAGTATTTTTTTCTATTCAAACGTCAATTACTACGAAGTTTTATAAAGAAATTATTATGATTTATTCCCCGCGTATAATTTGTAACAACAAACGAGACGTAAATACCAACAACGACACACAATTGTTGCGATATATGTTGCTTCTGCTCATGTTACGTTCTCCTTCCACAGGTGAAATGGCTTTATTGGTCGAAGGTTTAGCAGTTGGTGGTGAAGCTTCCTTAGAAGAGTACATCATAGGTCCAGCAGATGAATCAAGCAAGGATCAAAACCCAACTGATGAAGAAGACACTATCAAGTTATACGGGCCTGAAGCGGGCCACTCATGGATCGCAAAGCCCGCCACCGAGCAGAGCCGTACAGGCCTTATCTCTCGCCACGGGAGCGTGGCGAACCAGAGCGTACCCCTAATGGACCCGCTCGTGACTCTCTTCGGAAGCGTCCACGAGAAGCTTCCCGAAACATCCGGAAGCATGCGAAGCATGCTCTTCGGGAATTTCGGAAGCATGCTCAGCACTGCAGAGGCGAACGTGAAGCACGAGGAGTGGGATGAAGAGAGCTTGCACAGAGGAGAAGACGAGGGCTACACGTCGGAGGATGCGGGCCCAGACGAGGAGGACAATTTGCGGAGCCCGCTGATGTCACGGCAAGCTACAGAAACGGGCCATCATGAGAGCTTGTCGGAGATGAGGCGGCATAGTAGTCTTATGCATGGTGGTGAAGCGATGGGGATTGGTGGGGGTTGGCAGATGGCGGTGAAGTGGTCTGAGAAAGACGGAGAAGGTGGTTTTAAGAGGGTTTATTTGCACCAAGAGGGTCCGGCTGTTTCTAGACGTGGGTCCCTCATTTCTGTCACTGGCGGCGGTGGTGGTGATGGTGATGGTGGCTATGAGCATAATCATACGACGGCTCTAGTGAACCAGCAGGCGAAGGAAACTAGTGGGGCCACGGATACTTCTGGAAATGTGTCCGTTTTGAGTGCGCTTCTTGAACCGGGAGTTAAACGGGCTTTGATTGTTGGGATCGGGCTCCAAATACTGCAGCAGGTATAGAATTTTCTGTTTCGAAATGTTTGCTTTATATTCTTTTTCTTGGACTAAAATTTTGAAAGATGAAATGAGTCGGAATAATTTTCTCCTAGAATTACATAGTTGAGTGAAAAATCATATATAAGAAGACTAACACAATAAATAAATAAAAAATATGCAGAGTTTTCCGCCTACTTGTTCAATGAAATTATTCATATCTAATTCGATTTTGTGTTTGTGCAGTTTTCTGGTATCAACGGTGTACTGTACTATACTCCTCAAATTCTTCAGCAGGCAGGTGTGGGAGTTCTTCTGGCTAACCTTGGCCTTGGAGCAGATTCTTCGTCTTTCCTCGTTAGCACGTTGACCAACTTTTTGATGCTTCCTTGTATTACTGTTGCTATGAGGTTCATGGATATAGCTGGTAGAAGGTAACGCTCCTTCCTTTTTCTTTCGTTATTTAATACTATTTCGTCTCTTCTAGAGAAACAGGTCGATTATTTAATGCTATTTTAGTATCTTTCCTCTCCATGATTAATTCGGAAAATAACCATAATCAAGATTTATTTATGCTCCTATAAAAGCATTGCCCAAAACTCCGAGAACCTCGTTTGAGAATTAAGACAGGACTTGATACACAATATAATTAAGGATTTATATTTCAAGAAAATTATATTTATAGTTTAGTCAATTTCGGTTCGTATGCTTAATTTACCTATAATCTCTTATCTAGGTCACTGTTGCTAACAACGATACCAGTTTTGATTCTATCACTCATCGCACTCGTGATCGGAAATGTTTTCGATTTCGGGACTGTGGCCCACGCAGTAATCTCCACCGTCTGTGTCATAGTCTACTTCTGCACATTCGTGATGGGTTACGGTCCAATTCCAAACATCCTCTGCTCGGAAATTTTCCCAACGAGAGTGCGCGGAATATGCATCGCTATATGCGCGTTAGTTTTCTGGATATGTGATGTCATCGTTACTTACTCACTTCCCGTTATGCTGAGCTCGATCGGCTTAGCTGGCGTTTTCGGTATTTACGCTGTTGTTTGTGTTATCTCGTGGGTATTCATTTTCTTGAGGGTCCCGGAAACTAAGGGCATGCCTTTGGAAGTTATTACCGAGTTTTTCGCCGTTGGAGCCAAACAAGGTGCTAAAAGTGAGTGAGTGATTGATGGTGTTGTTATCTTCACAGGGCTTTTTTTGCAATGTAATTCCAAAAATTTCAATATTTTTTTTTTCAAAGATTACATCTGTAATATTACATTCGATTTTGGAACAATTTTTTTTTTCTTTGTTGAAATTTTAAATGCTAATTTCGACATGATATGCTCGATTTCTAGACTAAACATTTTCTGCATTTCTTTGAGGATTTGATAATTAAAAGTTATATTATGATATTTTCTGAAAATGTTTCACTTTTTTCAACATTAATATTTCACTTTTAAAATTACTAATAACGAATAGATTTCTTTATTCTCTCAACAAAAAGTTCTCTTAACCTACTTTTAACAAATGTATATATTAGTATTTAGTACGATAATTAAACAAAAAAGTCGAAAAGAAGTTGATTATGATAGCTTCTACACACGCTAGTGAGTGAGAAAGATCCGGTTTCGGTTTTAGGATCTTATTTGGAAAATTTCGTCGAACAAAGTTTTAGACGTTGACGAAATAATATATTTCTAAAGACAAGTTTTAATTTCGAAAATTTATTCTGAATGTATATAAATTGGCATCACATCTAAATTTAGTCGAGACTGAACTATAGAAAAATGTTCGTTTTTAAAGATATTATTCGGTGACACTCGTATTTTTTATTTTTTATTTCCTTTTAATAAGATAGAGAATTAAGTTCAAATCAAAATAAGTTGAAATTTGTGAAACAAAAGATTGAAGATATTTTAATGGACATCAAAATAATTTGGAACAATAAGCATGTTAGCAACTTATTAATTATCAAACTTCAAATCATTCCATTTAAATTAATGTACCTAATTTTTTTCGTGTGACAATGATTGCTTTGTAGGTGAGTTATATTTATTTAATGTGTGGTTCAATCTTAAATATCGACATGCCATATTTTCTTTAACATTGACTTGTCCCTTTACCCTACTTGTGCTAACACAACCCCTTTGTGGTTATGAAAAATAGTATATATTTTTTTTTATTTTCTATATTTTCCTTTTAATAACAAATTCAAAGAAAAAAGTTGTTTTTCTTGCTATTCATTATTTATTCTTCTTACAATTTGCTATGATTTTTTAATCGAAATAAATAAATATATATTGAATACTTATTTTATATGTGTTTTCATACTTTATAGCCATCTTTTTCAAATTTAATATATACTCATTTTGTGAATGTAGAAGTAGAACCAATAAATTGGTGACTTTATAGAAAAACTTACTTTCCCTACTTGGTGATATTGTAATTTCGAATTCTTTTAAATGCACCTATTATAGTGACAATTTAAATCGGTAATATTGTACCAAATCGTATCGGATTTCGATCCAATTTTCGATACTTCAAAAATTTGTATAGTTTACTGAACCGAGCAATTCGTTTAGGTATGGTTTTTTACCGAATTAATCCAATTTTTTTCAGTTCGATATCGATGAAATCGAAAATATATTTAATATATATATTGAACTTGACATTCAAATTTCAAGGCACTAAAAACAAAAACAAAAAATTATCAATAGAGAGGCTAATTTGTAAATAATGATTTTTTGTTTATAAATCTAAAAGTATTTTATAATGTGTTAAAACCTTAAAGAATTTAAAATAAAAGAAGAAAAATTATTAAATATTTCGGTATTCATTATGGTATAGTATATCGGACATCAATACCGTATACCGTAATGAATATTGGAATTTCAAAAAATAAATTACATAATTCCAAACTGAATTTTCGGTTCGCTATTTGACACGTACTAAATTTCCGATACGGTTCAGTTCGGTCGGTTTATCGATCGAGTGAACACCCTTAATTTAAACAACCAATTAAAAAAAGAAAACCAAATCCACCGCAATAAAGTTAACTAATTAATTCCTCAGTCCGACACAATTTGAATCAAAAAATTTCGTATGCCAAGAAATGTTAAGATACCATGATTTACATTCTTCTATCAAATACTTGTCGGGCCAAGTGATTTTACCTTTTGGTACAAGAAATATTGTATGCAAAACCATGATTAGTCAAACAAATTCTGAATATCTATTTTTTAGACTCACTCTTTTTATTTATTTATTTATTTTATTTTATTTTTTTCATAGGAAAATAAAAATATGTAGGGAAAAAAATGAAATAAAAATAATAGCAATTAAGAAAAAAATAAAAGATTTTTATTTATTTTCTCCAACAACAAAATGTAATTATTCAACTACCACCTGTGATTGTTCTCCAATAATTTAAAGAATTATGAAAATGATGGGGCCAAATAAAATAATAAATAAATAAAAATAAATAAAAATAAAATGCTGCAGCAGAAGATCTAATATCTAGGGACAATAGTTCTCTCTGGGTCAAATTGGACTTCAAAAAAGGCCCAAAGCTGAGTTGTTTTCTCTTGTCTTCTTCTTCTTCATATTTCAGTTTCACTTCTTCTTTCTAAAGATCTCTTCATTTTCTTGAAAACCCTTTCTTTATTCCCAATTTGCAAAATTCAGAAATTACCATAAATAAAAATCCAATCTTTATCAGAAAAAAATGATTCTTTACGAAATTGAACTTCTGGGCTTCCTCTAATTTCTGTAAGAACCCTCTCTGTTTGATGAATTTTGAATTTCCCTACGTAAAAGAGCTATCTTTAACTGAACTGGAGTGTGTGTGTGTGTGTGTGTGTGTGTGTGTGTGTGTGTGTGTGTTTTCTCTCACCTAGATAGTGTAATAAGTGTTTGTTGTGCGGTGGGGTTGTGTTATTTCAGTTTAAGTGACACTTAAATTTCAATTGAAAGTGTTTTTGTGTTACATTTGCATATCTGTAATTGAAGAGTTATATATATATGTATGTATGTATGTATTTATGTATGTATATGCCGCTTTCTTTGTTTCTCTCTCTAGAAATACACATTCACCATTGAGTTCAACACCACCTTTACTTTCTCTCTCATTCTGTATGCTGAATTTTGCTTGCCCTTTTTTTTTAGCTTCTCAAAAAGGTAAAAAAAACCCAATCTTTTTCACATTTTCAGATCTCTGAACTTTCTCTCTCTACTTTTAGCTTTATTTGATGTTGATTCCCTAAATGGCAAAAAGCAGAACTTTGGACCTTTCTGTAGTAGGATCTATGTTTATGGGGTTTTTTTTTTATTGATCTTTGTTTCTTTTTATTGTATACAAGGCTGGTTCGGAGATTGAAGTTCGATTCTTCGTCCGGAAAAAAAAATATAATATAAATTAAAATGAACGGCGCAGCATTGATAGCCATTGCTGCAACAATCGGCAACTTCTTGCAGGGTTGGGACAATGCAACCATTGCAGGTCACTTTTTAACTTTCCTTCTCCTTAATGTGTTTAAGTTTCGTAGAAAACCAATCCCGAAAAAAATGTATTTTCTTGATGTAAATGTAAAATTGTTATCTTTTCAATACTTCGGGTAAGAATTGAAAAAGTCTCTGATTATTTCTTACTAAAAAAATATATGTATATATACGCAGGAGCTGTTGTTTACATTAAAAAAGAGCTCGAGTTAGGAGCCGCGATAGAAGGGCTGATAGTGGCAATGTCACTAATCGGAGCGACACTAATCACGACTTGTTCCGGCACAATCTCCGATTCGATTGGCCGACGCCCGATGCTTATTGCGTCGTCCATGTTTTATTTCCTAAGTGGATTAATAATGTTATGGTCCCCTAATGTATACGTCTTACTCTTAGCAAGGCTTCTAGATGGATTCGGTATCGGTCTTGCTGTCACACTCGTGCCTCTGTACATATCTGAGACCGCGCCTTCGGAAATTCGAGGGCTGTTGAATACTCTGCCGCAGTTCACCGGTTCGGGTGGAATGTTTTTGGCGTACTGCATGGTTTTCTCGATGTCTTTAGCGGCCTCGCCTAGCTGGCGGTTGATGCTTGGAGTTCTTTCGATTCCTTCTCTTTTGTATTTCGCGTTGACTGTGTTTTATTTACCTGAATCTCCGAGGTGGCTTGTGAGTAAAGGGAAGATGCTTGAGGCGAAACGAGTTTTGCAGAAACTTCGTGGGAGGGAAGATGTTTCCGGTACATAATCTCTCTCTCTCTCTCTCTCTCTCTCTCTCTCTAGTCGAATTTGTTACTTCGTTATGTGGAAATCTCGTTATTACTCTAGTTGTTTCGTGGGCAGTTTAGATGATTCAAGCGTCACTTTGTAGTAATTTTGTTTATTCGAACGTCGACTACGATGAAATTTCATAAAGGAATTTATTATGATATGTTTTTAAAATGCTCGTCCACAGGTGAAATGGCTTTACTGGTGGAGGGTCTAGCAGTAGGAGGAGAAACATCCTTGGAGGAGTACATCATCGGCCCGTCAGACGAACTGGGCGACGATCAAGATCCAACGGGCCACGAAGACGACCAGATAAAGCTATACGGGCCCGAAGCTGGCCTCTCGTGGGTCGCAAAGCCAGCATCGACGGGCCAGAGCCGGGTCAGCCTGGTCTCCCGCCAAGGCAGTATGGTGAACCAGAGCATACCTTTAATGGACCCGCTCGTCGCCCTCTTCGGCAGCGTCCACGAGAAGATGCTTCCGGAAGCTTCCGGAAGCATGCGGAGCATGCTCTTCCCCAATTTCGGCAGCATGTTCAGCACCGCCGAACCGAACGTAGTCAAGAACGACGAGGAGGAGTGGGACGAGGAGAGCTTGCATAGAGAGGGAGAGGGGTCTGCTTCGGATGATGGGGGCCCCACTGATGAAGAGGACGGCGATTTGCGTGCCCCACTGATGAATATGAGGAGGAATAGTAGTCTCGTGCAAGGGGGTGGGGGTGGGGGTGGCGGAGATGCGATGGGGATCGGTGGTGGGTGGCAGCTGGCGTGGAAGTGGTCGGAGAGAGATGGGGAGGATGGTAAGAAGGAAGGTGGGTTTAAGAGGATTTATTTGCACCAAGAGGGTCCCGCCGCTTCGAGGCGTGGGTCCCTTGTTTCGATTGCTGGCGGTGATGGTGGTGGTGCTGGTGGTGAGGGTGGTGGTGAGTATTTTCAGGCGGCGGCGCTGGTGAGCCAGCCAGCGCTTTACTCGAAGGATATTTTGGATAGGCGTCCAGTGGGGCCCGCGATGGTGCACCCTCTGGAAACTTCCGGAAATGTGTCGGTTTGGGATGCTCTTCTTGAGCCGGGGGTTAAACGGGCTTTGATTGTTGGGATCGGGATCCAAATACTGCAGCAGGTATTTATTTCAATCGAAATTTTGTTCATCCAATTACTGCTTTATTTACTTTTTATTGGCCTAAAATTTGAAAAAAAAAATGAAAATAGTCGTAATAATTCAATTATACGAGTTTATTGCGTTTAGTACTCCTGTGTTATATCGAATTGTTAAAAATTCCCTGTTCCGATAATGTTTTTTCCTTATTCCACACACAACCCCCTAAAGGGTGAGTTTTTTTAGGGGGTAATTTGCTAAAATAAATTGCATTATAGGGGGGTATTGCTAATATTAATAACATGGGGGCTTTTTTTGCAATTTGATATAACACAAGGGTAATGAATGCAATAAACCCAAAATCATAGACAATCAGAACAAACCTGGAAATTATTGTTTTCTCCAATGCTGGATCACATGGTTTGAAGAATTGTTAGGATTTATTTATATAGCGGATATAATTATTAATTTTTTTTTTCCGGAAAAAATAAAAAATATATATATCTAAATTCGATATCGTGTTTTTTGTGCAGTTTTCTGGTATAAACGGTGTATTGTACTACACTCCGCAAATTCTGCAGCAGGCGGGTGTGGGAGTTCTATTAGCAAACCTCGGCATGGGAGCAGATTCTTCGTCTTTTCTGATTAGCGGGTTGACTAATTTTCTTATGCTGCCGTGTATTGCTGTTGCTATGCGCTTCATGGATATTGCCGGTCGAAGGTATAACTAACTCTCTTTCGTTTTTAAGCTAGTGCACTTGAATTTTAGGAAAAACCTAATAAAATGACTAAAATACCCCTCTCACAGTAATTGTTTCACCATTAGTTCTCTCCTAATAGATCAGAAGTAGTAAGGGCAAAATTGAGAAAAGTATAGTAAATGCTTCACTAGAATTCTAAAGTGACAAATAATTTATTTTTTTATTGGGTAAATTATAACCACCCCTTGAGGTATGGTCAATTTATGAAAAAACCCCTCTTGTTTGGATAATTATATCTACCCCTCAGCTATGATTTTTTGTTACACCTCCACCCTTATGGTGTCAAATTCAACATAATCATCTAGATTTCGTGGAATGTGCTCTAGTTTGTACTCGTTTTGTGTAAAAATACAGTTTCTGATGCACCTGATATATACAAGCCAAGAAACACATATTATGATCATCTTGCTTCAAAATATGGAGTTCGAATGGGATAAAACGGGTACAAAAGTGATAATATTTCATATAATCTCGAAGATTCCACTAAATTTGAAACCGCAAGGGTGGATGTGTAAGAAGATTTATAGTTGAGGGGATAGTTGTAATTACCCAAACAGGAGGGGTGTTTTCGTAATTTGACCTATCCTTATTTATTTAATTTTACTTTTTCATAGGTCCTTATTGCTGACAACACTACCGGTTCTAATAATATCACTCATCGCCCTCGTAATCGGAAACGTATTCGATTTCGGAACACTGGCCCACGCAATAATCTCAACCACATGCGTCGTAATCTACTTCTGCACATTCGTGATGGGTTACGGCCCAATCCCGAACATCCTCTGCTCGGAAATATTCCCGACGAGAGTGCGCGGAATATGCATCGCTATATGCGCCCTAGTTTTCTGGATATGTGATGTCATCGTCACTTACTCGCTACCCGTTATGCTGAGCTCGATCGGCTTAGCTGGCGTTTTCGGGATTTACGCCGTTGTTTGTGTTATCTCGTGGGTGTTCATTTTCTTGAGGGTCCCGGAAACTAAGGGTATGCCGTTGGAAGTTATTACCGAGTTTTTCGCCGTTGGAGCCAAACAGAGCGCTGCTGCTAAAGGCGAGTGATTCGATCGAGTGTTCGATATTTGATGTGTGGTGGTGCTGCTGCTGAAGATCAATGTTGTTGTTATTTTGGCAGTCTTTTATTTTATTTTATTTTTTAATCTTTTTTTTTTAATGTAATTTTATTCAGAATTCAGTAATCAGACTTGCCTTATTTTATTTACATCTTGTTGTATGTAATATGGAAAAAGGGTTGAATTGTTTTGGGGAAATTAAATTGAAGTCCATCTCCTAACTCAAGTGGTTGCTTCAGGTTTAATTAACTTTCGATTAGTTAACTTCAATTAGTTTCCGACATCCGATCAGCTGACCTCAATTAGTTAACCTCTGATTAAGTTAACTTATCAAGTGGATTTGACAGAAGTCAACTGAATAATATTTTTTTTCGTTTGCGTTTCTTGTCATTATATTTTTGAATATTATTTTTTGGTCACCCAAAGTTTTTTATTATGCGTTTTGAACTCTTTATTCTTTTTTTTATTCTCCATAATCTTATATAAATTATGCTTTTGATTTTTTTACTACTACCTCTTAAAAAATAATCTGGCAACGCCCCCACCCCACAAAATAATATGTGCAATACATCATTATAATAATTGAGATTAATTAGTTTTTTTTTTCATGCTTTCAATATAACTATGCTATTTTAAATTTTTAACAATATAATCATATTTTTGCAATGGCCTGTGAATCTATTTTTTTTTTTTGCCCGAGCAACGCCCTGAACCCCGAAAATTTAGTTGACCCGACCCCTTGAACCAGTGGCGGAGCCACCCTTTGGCAAGGGTGGGCTCCAGCCCACTCTCATTATTTAAAAATTTATACTATATATTATATCTATATATAATTAGCCCCCCAAATAGTTTAATTTAGCCCACCCAAGTAATTTAGTTTAGCTTATCTATCAAAAAATTTATGTTATATTAGTTGAAGTTTATAATTTGTGGTTATTTTATGCTATTTTATGTTAATGAATAAAAAAAAAAATCGGGGGCGCTGCCCCCGAACCCCGTCAATGTTAAGCCCACCCACCCAAGTAATTTAATATAGCTTATATTAGTTTAAGTTTATAAATTTGTAGTTATTTTGTGCTATATTTTTATGTGAATGAATCAAAAAAAAAAAAAATCGGGGGCGCTGCCCCCCAACCCCCGTTAATGTTAAGCCCACCCTGTCTCGAATTCCTGGCTCCGCCACTGCCCTGAACTACATATATAGTCAAAGTTATGGTAAAGCCTAATCATTTTTACATCAATGTAATTTATCAGACATTGACAAAATTATATTAATAATTTTGAAGTTGTTCTTGTTACACACCATTGTCATAAAATAAATTAATAAATATATATATATATATATATATATATATATATATATATATATATATATATATATATATATATTTTGATAAAATTAATTATCAGATAAAATTTTGTTTGGCTAACAAAGTAAGCAAAGATCACATATATTACCTGGCTCAACTGAAGCATTATTAAAAAATTATGATGAATTAAAGCATACTTATTGCATGATCAATTTGAATTTTTTTGTTCTAATCTTTCATTTATTTATTTATTTTATTTTTTTTAAATCAAATAATCACACATCTTTGTTATACGATTGATTTTGACCACAAGTTTGACTAATAAGAATGCATGGAGATCGCGTGTACAATTGGTTAAATAAAATAGGGGTGGTTTCGGTATGGTTACCGAACATTTTGTTCAATACCGTGTACCTACCGTATCTTTCGGTATTGAAAAATTCTATACCGTTACCGTACCAACAATTGCGGTATACCGTTATTTGGTATACCGTTAGTTTCGGTACGGTATAATCGGTACGTGGTAATCTACCGTACATCATTTTTTTGATGAACTCGGATGATACCATAATTAAGATGAATACTAAATAAATGCATAAATACAACAAATTAAGCAAATGAATATGGTAATCAAGCAATCTACATGAATACACATTATACGACTGTAGTAGCATATGTTGCTTTAATTAACTAATGCTTACTAAGATATCTATAGAAAAATTGTAGAAACTTATATGAGCAAAAAAGTTTCATGGTTTAAGTAAGAGAAATAAAAAAAAAATTGCAATAATGCAAATGAAACAAAAAGCTGGGAACTCAGGGGGAAAAGAAAGGGAGAATAAAATATGGCAAAACGTATTCCACCAATAAGAGATTAATTGGACTTTGAAATTAAAGAAGTACGTGACATAAACAACTTTAACGAGAGCCAAATATTGAGTTTGCATAAATATATGAAAATAATAAAAAATTTATAATTATGTATATATAATATATATAGGATGTATCATATCTTTTCTCGAAAAAAGGATGTATCATATCGTTATTCTTGTTTTTTATTTTTTTATAATATTTGTTGACTATATTTTTTTTATTTAACAATATAGAAGGAAAAATATATTAATTAATTTTAAAAATACATAGTTGCGGTACGGTACGGTATTACCATGGTATTGAAGATACAATACCGCTACCGTACCGTAAGACAATGGTACGGTACCGATACCGTACCAAATGTAGTGGTAACCGATTGTTCGGTATTTATTCGGTAATTTGTGGTAGGTATACCATGGTAATCGGTATTTGGTAATTTTTGCCCAGCCCTAAAATAAAACATGAAAAGCGCGCTTTGCATTTAACGTTAGCAGTTGTAAGTTAATGAAAATCATTTTCGGGGGAAATTACAGTTTTCACCCCTCAAGTTTGTAGCAATTTCACATTTGGTCCTCCAACTTCACAAAAAATATAGTTGGTCCCTCATGTTCCAATAACTTAAGATTTTTGGTCATTTCCATCAATTTACCATTAGTCCATTAGTTAAGACTGTGATGGGCACACACTTGATTCCGTTAGTTCTAACGAAAAATTGACGGAAGTGACTAAAAGTGTTAAAGTTTTGAAACATGAGGGATCAAATGTGTTTTTTATGAACATAGGGACCAAATGCAAAATTAGTGCAAATATAAGGGACAAAAACTGTATTTAGCCCACATGTTCACGGGATGCATTTGCTCCAATTGAAATAAATCCCTACATTAATAAATATCTTTTTTTTTTTTTTTTTTTTTTTTTATTTTATAAATTTTAAACTAGATATGGCTTGCCGCTAATGTACTAAAATGTGTTAGTCGGTGTTTTGATTTTGGGAAGAAGAAGATGACAATTTTCCTTTTTTTTTAATTGATTAATTTATATTTAATATTTAGAATTCAAGTGAATGGACCAATTTACCCCGGTAAATTTCACGTTCAGCGCACATGATCTAACATTCCGTTCAAAATTGTCGGAAAATTGAGTTTAGGGGATACCGTGCAACAAATTAAGAAGTTTAGGTAAACTTGTGTTCAAAAAAATTATTTGGGGGCGAAGTGCCAAACGACCCTTACTTTAGGGGACAAAGTGCTTTTTAACCAAAAAAATAGCTCATAAATACCTTATATTTAAGGGGTTTAATTATGCATTCATAAATTGATAAGGAGGAAAGTTTTTCTAGATTTTCGGTTAATTTTTTTTTTTTTGAAGGAAAGGAAAATTCCATTAGGCATTAACAGCCAAATTATGAGGAATGTGATTTCCATCACTACAGCTTAAATTAATATTCGTGGCGAACATATGCGCCAATTGGTTTCCACTACGCTTAACAAACGAGAACTCGCAAAATACAAAGGAACCTGTTATAGCCAAACATTCATCGATATAAGCTCCGAACGACGACAGTGATGACTCGCCTTCTTTGAGAGAAGAAATAACCTGCAAGCAATCTCCTTCGATAATTATCGAGCTCCAGCCAATGGTCCTTGCCCAAGAAATTGCCTCAAAAGCTGCATGCGCCTCGCATTCGACCGGCTGTGGTTGCCCCGGAAATCGACGAACCGCCCATCTGCAACATCCACCTCGCCAATCACGTGCGACCATAGCCACTGAGTAATAGCCCATCCCTTTCGGCAAAGCTGCGTCAACGTTGATTTTAATGCAGCCCTCAGGAGGAGGACTCCATACCGTTGAGAGGTACCTCGTTTGAATTTCCGGAGCCAAGACCATCGCCTTTTGGAACTCGTTAAGAAAAGATTGACCCCAATTGATGAGATGTTCTGCTTCCATAGCTTCTTCGCCATGCATTAATTTGTTCCTTACGTCCCAAACCTTCCACGCAATTATAAGTGCCAAGATGAACTTGTCCCGCTGGAGAAATGCCCTCGCGTGACTAATCCAATTCCACATCGAACTTTGTGACCGCATGGGTCGAAGATTGAAGAACGGCGAACTCCAAATCTTCCCCATCTGGTTACACTCTTGCAGCACATGCAAAAAAGTTTCAACATCAGCACCGCATCGCATGCATATGGGAGAAGGGACCATTTTCCTTCGGTGGAGCTCCGCGCTTGTAGGAAGGATATCCGAGCAAGCTCTCCATAGAAAGTTGCGAATTTTCGGAGGGAGGGGAAGGTTCCAAATCTCGGTCCACTTATGGTTCGCTGCCCCGCTATGTGATGCTTCATTCCTTCCCCGACTGTTAGTTGACCGATGAGATTGTGAAATAATATTATGATAGCAGGTTCGGACCGTAAACTCTCCCGACTTAGAATAATGCCAAATCCACCTGTCTCGTGCATTACGAGTTCCAATTGGAACCGCTAAGGTCCGTTCTCTGTCCACTTGCCAAAATTGCGAATTAATGATTCCAATATTCCACGTGCATAAATCGGGGTCAATGAGATCCGATACCCGATTCGGGTAACTGCTCATACTTGGCCGTCGAGTCAAGACCTTATGATTGCCATCGTCTCGCAACCATGGATCGGCCCAAATAGATGTGTCATGACCATTCCCGATGCGCTTCCGAAGTCCTTGCACCAAGAACGGGCGCGCCTTCAGCATACTCCTCCATGTAGCCGATGGTCGAGAACCAATTGGCGCTCGAAAAATATCGCTCTGTGGGAAGTATCGGGCCTTAAGAATTTTGGAGAGGAGAAGGTCAGGTTTAGTAATTATTCTCCACACCTGCTTAGCAAGCAAAGCATAATTGAAACTACGCAAATCCCGAAATCCCATTCCCCCTGCCGATTTTGGTGTACACATTTTCTTCCAAGAAAACCAAGCTACCTTTCTACCCGAACCCCCACCCCACCAAAAACCACGGATGGTAGATTCAAGATCAGCAACCAAGCCTGCAGGTAACTCGAAGCAACACATCAAGTACGATGGAATAGCTTGTA